TGGCTCACCTGTGCTGACTAAGGTATAAATACTATTTAGTCAAGCAAAAAATTCAAATGAGCCTCATTTCAAAATTCCCTCCTTGTAAACCTCTTTCAAATTAATAGGTACAAGTGCAGATTGCCTAATTATCAGCCATTAAGGGAAGGATACCCTTAAGAAGGAAGCTTACTAAGTGCGTTTCAGAATTACTATTGACAGCAACATGCAAGTTTAGACTCATCAGTATCTGCTAATAACTTCAGGTGCCTTCTTTAAAAGGCCAACCTTCCCAAGCATCCTGTGGGGGAAAACTAAAAGACTCTTGCAATCAGATATTTCAGAAGGGCCTAACTGGAGCTTGACACTCTGAGGTAACTTCTCTTCCTCCACTTACAAGGGAGGAGGAGAAAAGTGGCAACTTGCCAGCTGAGATCTCAACAACCCATACACTTTCCTGCTTAAACATCATTTGTAAATCTGAGATATGGTGGCACTTTTTTCTCTCAGACCTTGACCTTCTGACCTGATTAGGTTAGAAATCCTGTAGGCTTTGGAGCTTTTTTCCATCTCAAAACCTTGTCATATGTTTGAAAACTACCTCTAAATGACTTTTCAAAGGTCAAAATGGAAAAGAAAGAATCCACATGTCTCAACTCCCTCCTCCATTCTAGACATGGGATCATCCTTTTCATCACACTTTCCTACAGTTCAGTGACACTGCACTACTCCAGAAACAGGAGTTACAGCTACACAACAATGCATTGGTTGGTGTCTCATAACACAGCCAGACCTTCAAAGGGCATCACAGCCCAAAGAAGTATACAGCCTTATCTGGCATTCTCCTGCACTGGACTTCACTCTGCTGCTTCATTCTTTTTTTTACTTTTAATTAAGAAAACCCCCACTATTAAGTGTTGAATTTGTTATCAATAGCCAACAATGAATTCAAATGCTGGCATATTGTTGTTGTCCTCTAATATACTGCCAAAATATAAGTATTATAAATGTCACACATCAATTTATCAAACTACAGCATGTTCCTTAGGAATATTAAATGTTGTCTTGGAAATGTTAGAGATCCCATTCTTGATTATAAGTCAACATGAAAAGAGGAAGATTTATATTACAGTTCAGCATGAATTTGTCCAGACTGATCTCTCTTATAGTTCGATAAAGTTTATAAATACAAAATACATGGACAAACCACAATATAGTCAAAGATGAACTGAAAGTGGAATTTCTTTAAAATACCCCCAGGATACATAAGACTCTTAATCCCTCAGAGGAGCACAAAGTAACAGTATGTCTAAAAGAAAAAAAAGTTTCCAATAACTTTTTACCCAATTAGAGCAGGTCTCTTTCCAATTACTGTTGAGAATGTTAATGGTTAAAACCAGTTTCTATCCTCTCTTTTCCATTCGTCACAATTCTTTCTGTGGGAATTTTGACACCAGTGATTATTTTGCTCATTGCTATGCCCGATCTGAAGTTGCTTTTCTGCTGCTGTTCAACGATGCTATGGAGGAAGAACAGCCTCCAGCTTGGTAGGATCCCAATGAAGTAAATCCAGTACCTGGAACAGGAGAAACTCCAAGAATAGGAAAAAAGCATCTATTCCTTCCCCTTCTTCTTCTACAGGGTTCCCTGTGATTTCTAGAAGTGCTGGTAACTACTAAGGCTTTCATTGAATAGAAAACATCTGTGTAGAAATGAGCGATTATGTATTCAGAGTTCAAGCATTTTATATCTTTGTGTGTATTGTAAGCTTTACCTCTTCCACTTCCTTTACGTTTCCACATAAACATGCTTCTGCAGAATTGTCACAGTTACTCCATTTTTTGGCACTAGGTAAGATTTTGTATGCTTTGGTGACTTCTCTGATTTCTTCTCTGCTACTTATCTATTTTCTGGTTTTTTTTGGGGGGGGATGCAGCTTCACTGCCAGCTTTCAGTATGCCTTTTTTTTATGTTACTTGCAGAGAGACACCTCTGCACAACTAGAGCTAACAGTAATCTCCCACTGTGCCTGGATGACCTCAACAGCAGTTGAATATTGTCTTCAGCAAATAACCAGAGGACTGGTTAAGCTTCAAGTCCTCCCACCACTCCTTCTGCCCCTTCTGAGAACTGCAATGTTTTACAGCACAGGCCACATGAAAGCAGGGCAGCCACCACGTTCACATACTCCCCGTGCCGTGGCTCTGCTGGAAAGTAACAGTGGACACAGGCTGGTATCAAACCCCAGATTCCCTTCGGGTAAGAGATTGCAGTGAGGCCTGGAGACCAGCACTGGGCTCATCTGGCTATCGCAGGACTAATGGTTAAGAAGCCACATGGCAATAACAAAGGTCACAGCACTAGCATGTCTTGAGACTTTGCAAACAGCTTCAGTCTTGGAGTGAGCTACAGCCCTTGTGCTCCCAGGGCTCCTAGAGAAAGCCCAGCCACATGCTGGCAGGCAGCATTTCTCTGAAAGTGTTCACACCTTCACCCTGCACCTGGTATTCCTCCCTCTTTAGGTATCCTCTGTCCCCAACTTCTTGGCTTGTCTGATTTGCTTGCTGATGTTATGGTTTTTTATTACTGGGCAGCATCTTTGAGTTGAATGTGTTTTCATCAGTGAGCTCTTTTGATTTGCTGACATCAGTGGAACTCCAAGAAGGAACAAGGTGTAATCATCATACAACCATCACTTCTTACCAGCACTTACAATATGGTTTTAATAAAACATTCTGCATCTCTTAAAATGTCTTCTCATTGTCCTTAAAATATTGTAAGACAAAATCAGGTCTTAAAAATTTTTTGAGTCACTTGTTTTAGGCAAGTCCAGATGTATTCAGATTCATCAAAAGAAAGTGTGGACTCTGCTACTGTTGTGTAAAACCTGAACATAATAACAGATTACATTCTGGGCTATGGATGTTTTGTAAGGAAACCATTGTGCTACCCCTACCAAAGCAGTTCAGTGGTAAACAATTTCCCAGTGTTGTAGGTGACACTGAATACTTTCCTTTACCACTTACAACCTCATTCCTTTTCCAGTACATATTCAGGGCAGTAGCAGATCTGGTTTCTAGGGGCCCATGCAAACTGCAAATGGCAGAGGAAAACAGAGATGGCCAAAACTTCGGCTGCGTGACTGGTGCTCTCTAGACAGAGGATGGCTGGGATTCAAACTGAACCTGTCTGCACTGCCATACCTGGAAGATCCTGATAACAGACACCATAAGAAGACAGTTAAAGTTAGTGGCTAGTAAACAGTGTAGAAGAAACTGAACACCACCACTGGTAAGAGGTTAGGGATAGGGTTGTTTATGGGGTTGTTTCTGATCCAGACAGGGAACAGGCTGGCAGAGCTGCCATGCAGAACCAGGTACTTGCTGCTCCTTGTGCTGCTAATGGAAAGGAGGGGCAAAGAAGTGGCAATGACTTCTGCAGCGACTGTCCATCCCACAGCTCCTAGCCACATCCTGGTGGCAGCTGTCTGCCTCTCTCTCCAAGGCTTTAGCATAAAGTGACACTGGCAGTGGAATCACAGCCACATTTCTGCACATGCCTATCCTAGCAGAGTCCTCAGTTATCCTACTGAAGCCACTTGCCCTCACTGCAGAATACTAGTAAAACCTTTACACTCCACTTCCACGCTGTTTCCCATAAGGCTGTTGCAAATTGCTTTGCCAAAACTCGTGAGTCAGCCTCACCTTGCTGCTGACAGATCAGTAGTAATTACTGCAGTATTGACAAGCCAGCTGAGGTGCAGAGAGGTTAAGATATTTGATGAAAGTCAGAAGTATCTGTCAGTACAGGATAAAAACTCCCAGAGGCCACAATTACTTTGTCTGTGTGGGTTTTTAAGCCACATTTCCAGGGCTGTTGAGGAGACATGGATGCTGGTATTAAGGAATGGACACATTTTCTTTTTTGGTCTGTTTACCCATCTTCAAATTCTAAAAATGAGTAGCGGCTGGAGAAAGAACCTTCATCTGCAATTTGCCAGAGAATCACCCAATGGCAGGCTTTTCAACCCCAAGAATAAAGATACAAAAGATACTTCATTATATTCATCAGTTACAATCAGATGGGATTTCACAGACATGGTGCTGAAGGCCAACATTAACCTGATCAACGATGTCATTTCATATGAGATGCACAGTGTCCCTGCAAAGCTGCCAATGACTTGCACTAGCCTCTGCCTTGGAAGGTCAAGACATCTGTTTTGATAACTAAGTACAAATGTTGGTGACTAATTTCCTGGTAGTTGCACTTAAACCTACAGATTTATCAGAGAAGGTGCTGACCTGACAATCTGGAGATGTAAGTCACTCCCCTATGGAACAGGTGGGCTGTAGGCCAAGTCAGCTGACTTCCCTATTCTGCTCCCTTTACCAGTTTGCTGGCAGGTGAGTTACAAGGGGCCATCTGACTGTTAAGCTCTTTGCTGACCAAATCTACCAGAAGAAGCCATCCATCAGCATCAGCACCTACAAGGCCCAGAAACAAAGACCCAACCTCTTTCTCAGACTGTCATACGAACACATTGCTCCCCTACCAACTTATCCTTTCCCTGTTCACTTGTACTGCCAAGTTCACTGTAACACAGCAGCCCCTTTTTCACCCTAGGCCTTCAGAAACAACATGTTGCTTAGGAGCCCCATGTTTTATAAATACTTATGAGTGTACTTGCACAATACACTAAGAAAGAAGGGAATTACTATTCAAAATGGTGAAACTGAGTGTGTTGTACAGGGAGACTTGAGTTCAAGCCAGAAAATTTGTTTAGATTTCTCATCTTTCTAATGACTGTTTTAAACAAACTCCAACTCATTAGCCACAGCTTGCAGAAAAATATTATTACTCAAAGTTCATAGTCCCATGGATTGTCATCCAGTAACAGACTCAAATCCCCCCATTAATGTGAGATTTTCACTCCCATTTTACAGTATATAGTCAGGCCTATGGCAAAAATGTGCAACATGAGAAACTGGTGGCAGTCAGAAGGTGTTTGATAACAGGTTTACCTGTTCTTGAAAAGCACTGGCTTGTTCTTCAAATCCAGCTGTTCTGAAATAATTCACAACATCAGTAACAGCCCAGTCAGCAGGATCTGGAGGTCTCCCGTTCTCTACTGAACTGCAAAGTGAAAATCCAGACAAGTAATCACTAAATGCGTGCAGAACATCTGCTGCTTCTTTGTCACACCACACATACATCCCCTCCCTCCTTGTTTCTTCAGAAAAAGTATTCTTTGATGCACCTCCCTCTGCCCTGATACAGAACAGTCATTCCTGCTCTTTTCCATTTCAAAGACCTAATGCTGGGGACAACTCCCAGGTACCTCTCCCTTCAGAAAAGAGGAAAATATAGGAATCTTCACATCAGCCAAAGGTAATCAGTCAGGATCTTCCTACAAGTGTGTTGCCTTTGCTGTTGGAGAATGAAGACTGCCATAACTGAGGATCCAAATTCCTGTCCTTCAAGCCTTCAGCTGGTTTTCAGCTACCAAGTACCTAACGAATTGTGTGTCAATTATTCTTTTCCCAGATCAGACTGTGCTTCCTTGTAACATGGTTAGAAATTACTGGTAACCATCTTTACCTTATAAAAACAACAACAAATAATAAAACACAAACAAACTCACACACACACCCCCAAAAAAAAGAAAAACAGAACAAAACAAAAAAGAGGCACCAAATGATTGCACTTATTCTTAATATAGAAAATTTCCCAAAACTGTTTTTGGACTCATCTTCAGACAAATATATGGACTTCCTAAATAACTACGAATCTGAGAAAGCATCTGTTAAATGAAATCAGAATTAATTCCTTCTGTGATTAACCTCAGGCAATTGTTTTCCACAGCAGCAAAACCAACCAAACATTCATATTACTATCCTTATTCTGCCTTTCTTTTCCTCAAACTGGAATCACCATATCACAAAGATAACCTTTGTGTATCTAAAAATTCTTGGTAAAAGATACACAGTGAGTTTGATTGCCTTTTCTATTGGGATTTATGAGGATGAAGAGCAAGACATCAAAGAGTTTCTCTAACATGTTTCTCCAACTGAAAATCCCGAAGTTCATGTTCTGCATGCTTAACTATAACACTAATGAAGAAATATTGAAAATGTACAGATGAGGACATAAGTCAGAATCCTGTCCATGTCAGGTCTGAAGCTGAGCGGCAGGACTTGGATTTCAACAGCACCAGCTGGAAAAGACACACAGATTATACTCTGCTGACACCATTTTTGTTCTGTCCTCCAAATTTTTCTTTTCCAGCTGTCACCACCTCAGCCTTGCCTGGACTTGTATGTCTTTCAGCAAAATAACCAAGGGGTCAACCATTTTTCAAACCAGCCAAACAGAATCACATAGAGTGCCTCCCATCACTGTTTCTACAACATCCCAATTTCTACAACTTTCTGAGCCCTGGGAAGGAGGACTCGTGAAAACAACGGGTTTTGCGTCTCCCCTAACTCTTGAAATGTACCTGTCAGTATGGCAACAAAATCTGACTGCAGGGACTCATCCACAACCTATGCTGCACTTGGCCTTCTAGAAGCAGTTTCTTTCACTTATCACATATCTCAGAGCAATAAGCGAAGGACCAGAGTTTCTTACTTTTGCTCATCACATAATGACTTCATGAATTGCTTCACTGATTGTGATTACATAGAAAGCAACACTCAGTAAAATTGAAAATGGGACTATCTGGTCTTATCAGAGCTGCATTTTTTTTTAAGCCAAAGAATGCCTTTCTCTTAAGATTTTTCAGTGTTGTGCACATTCTGAAGCCTAAGAAGTAAAATGTGAAAAGCACCACACAAAATCTACACGTATTTATAAAAGCAGAATTTGAAAAATTATATTTAAATCTTTGCACTTTCCCTACGTTATAAACTATCACTTCCAATGACTCATCTTCTACTTAAAAATTAACAAACAAAACCCCAACAACTCCGTATTAGAAAAAACTCTAGGAGATATTGAATTTAATCCTTCCTAAACAGCAAATAAAAGGTTCAATCTGTAAAAATACATCCTGACCATAATTTGCTTGCTTCTCCAAACATTTTAATTTCAAGTTAAATATGGTCCCAAACCCTCCTTCCCACAGTTTTTTATCAGCCCAGGTGTGTTGGGGTTTTTTTGTAGCTTTTCTTTTATCACTAGGGAACTACAGCTTGGTCCAGCCCCATCCCAGGCCCAACTGCAATGACTTCAGGGGCTCTATCTCTGTCATTAACTAACTGCAGGAAATAATTGCAAGTTCCTTCCTCAAGGAATAGCATCATGCTGGACCTCAAGTGGAGCCAATTTCCACAGCTCCAGCTGCAGAAGACTGGAAGGCATGTGGCAGACTGCTGGAGGTTGGCTGGATTTTAACCCATCTACCCACACAGATGCTCATGTGGCTTGTAGACTTTAATACTGTCCTCCTTGCCCTGCTGTTGACATGGCTCTATTCTTTAAACAAGGAAAGCGAATGTATAACATCCACAGCTTAGCCATACACTGCTTTATGCCTGACATCCTGGATGCTGTAAGAGGACTTAAGAGGACTGGCATTTTAGGCTTTGACATGAGATACTAGATGCACTGACAGTGTATAAAGATTAGGCTTGTCTGCCTTTCACCAGTGTCCCTGTGCCTTTATTGCCATCATGTGGCAGAAGCAGCAAGATCTGAAAAGCCATAGCTGAGAACAAACAGATTTTATCCAAGCTATTTATAACCACTTCAACAAAGTGTCAAATACTTCCTCTGTAGATAAGCACACAAACATACTATATACATTCATCTAGAAACCACGGCCCTGATCAGTTTAATTACATTTCCCATCCATTCTAAAAAGCCACCTTAGCAATCAGTATTTGAGCCTTTTTCACTGAAGCCTCGGGGAAAATGATTAAATGTGAACTGTCCTTGCTTTGACTACCACCCTTCTCCTCCCACCAGAGTACTCATTGTAGAAGCCAGACTGTCAACTGAAGGTGGCTTCTGAGGGACATACACAATAATCCATTCACAGTCACTGAATAGGAAAATGCTCTTTATGTTGGTGTGGTATAGCCAGCATCTCAAGTGAAGGGGCAGGATGCTGATTTTAATGGCTGCCATCAGATCTTTTGATGCTGTGTCATAATCAGGTGTTTTATCAGCATCCTGAAGTGACTGTTATTATTATTTATATTACTCTAGTGCCTGGTAGCCTAAGCATTGTCATATTGTCTCGGATGGCTTATGTAAAAGGGATCTGAAGGAGAAGAATGAGCTGCAGCTGCGCAGAAGTGCTGCAGTTCGAGAGGACAGACAAAGAACTCACTCTAGTACCTTTCTTTGTGGTTTGTATTTTTTTTCTTTTAATATATATGCATATGTGTACATCTATCTCAGCATGGCTTCTATAACCATAAAGCAGCAAGGCCAGATTTTTCCACACAGAACTTCACTTCTCAGATCATGGCTTCATTCAAAATTGCTAGTCCTAATCTAAGAATTTCTGACCTTTAAGGATAAGTAAATGCCTATAAAACAGTCCCTATCCCTTAACCTGCAGTTTACCACATAAAAGGAAACAGTAGAGCAGTGCACACCATATCTGTCTTATTCCCACCGTAGGTCTGAAGTAAAAACTCAGCAGTTTAGGGCTTCTCCAAGAAACAGCTTAAGATATCTGTTTCAGAAGAGAGCTGACACTGAAGAGATATGCTGCTGCTACTTCTCAGCCACTAGACAGGTGGGCTGACGGCAGAGAAGGGCATCTGTCTTTCTGAATGAGACAGAAAGCAGATTTCCACACAGGACACTTCTCTCCATTAGGCACTGGTTCTGCAAAAGCCACGAGCAGACAGGTGAGCAGAGGTACAATATTGGTTACAGTGCTACCACTTTCTCTAGTTGAGAGGAAAAAAAATCAATGGAGGAAGGTGTACCCCTAACTCAAGTTACTAGCTTCTACATCTCTCCACTGCTATACAGTCCTTCTGCACACCTCCTCTAAGCAACTCAGTGCCCTAGAGTCTTCTGTTCCAAAGGTGAAATACAATAGAAATAGTTTAGAACAGAGAAGGTTTGAAATGAGCAAAGATGGAGACACCCACAATTGCCAATCACATTAGGTCAAAGGAAAACTACATTCAAAATCCATGTGCTGTTTACAGAAAAGGAACTCTATGAATTCACTTACTTTTTGACATCCAGAGAGCCATTTTCTTTGTTTTCCATGTCAACAATTAGCATGGGGAGGATAGAGGCTTCTTTTACTTCAGCAACTGATTAACAGGGAGGGAAAAAAAGCAGTGTGTAATTATTGCTAGTATGACAAGAGCAACATAATGTAACAGAAACAAGCATTCTACAGGGACACAAGCATGTTTCCACCTGAGAGCAACAGTGCTGTCAAAGACTGATTTTCTCAGAAGCTTGGCAAAGCCAACAGGAGCTAACAAACTAGAAAAAAGCTGACCTGTGCCTCAAACACAAGAAATATTTATTGCCTGAAAATCAAAGAATTTGATCCTTTTTAAGTGTTAAAATATTGATCAAATTATATATTCATATACATGGAGACTGACCTACAATATATACCTGCGTATCAAGAGAGCTTAACAGGCCTTCAGTCAGCCTGTGAGGGGTCCAAGCAGATGCATGATCTTATCCCTAGAGAGGTTTGGAAATCATAGCCTTGCTTTACAAATGGGGACTCTGGGATACAGATGAGCACAGTCATTTTTGCCCATCTCACACATAAAAAGGGCAAGCAGAATTACTAATTGAGCACCAAACTCCTGAGGTTTACATCAGTATCTTACCCGTAAGACCATCCTTCCTGCACTAGCTTCTTTTATAGGTACAGTATACCAAACTCCAAAAAGGGAAGGAGCACATGAAGCACACAGGAGAAAATCCCGTTAATTTCCTTCCTCACTGTGTGCTGCAGTACTTTCACCACATAGTTTTTGCCACCACTCCACAAAACACGCAGAAATGACCCGAGCCTTTCCTTTCTGTTCTCAAGTAAGCCATTTCTGTTTTAGAGAGCACCAGAGAACTGACCGAGGACTCAGGATGTTCTTGCAGTGTAGCATTAATGGATGCCAGTGAAATGCACAAGCTCTG